CCCTCTTCTATATAAAATAACCAATTATTATTGGTCAAATATTTTTTTTTTACATGGGTAGGGGGTATAAATAGCAATTTCCTAAAATTAAATAGTAAATATTCATGAACTTGAAAAGTTTATTTTAAATATTTAGATTAATAAATATTCTTTATACTCACGGACTACAATATGTTCAATAAATGGAAAATATTTATGAACCTGAATAATTTGTTTTAAATACTTAGATTAATAAATGTTCTTTATACTTACTTGCTACAGTATTTGAAATAAAAATAATAGAAATATTTATGAAATTCAATAGCTTATTTTAAAAACTTAAATTAATAAATATTCTTTATTAAATGAATTAAATAGTAAATATTCAAGAACTTGATTAAATATTTGGATTAACAAATGTTTTTTATACTCACTAACTGCAGTATGTTAACATAAACTTAAATTGTAAATATTTATAAACTTGAATAGTTATTTTAAACTAAGATTAATAATGTTTTTATACTTATGGACTTAGACCAAAGCAAATTGAATAATATTATTTAAAAAATAAATAATTATAAACTACTGATTTTATATTTAATATAATTGATGTTCATACTTACTCTCTAAAAATTATGTTTAAGAATTTCTAACTTTAAAGTAAAATATATCAATGAATATTAACGGATAACATACTTTTTAATCCATTTATAGAATTTGTCATCACCCTACTTCACACCAATTCCGTATATGCAGCAAATGGCATTTTTAATAATTCTCATGGAATTATCTGCCTCAGCTGACTTCAAATAGTTTACACATGCTTTATCGTTATGCTTATCGATTTCAACCCTAATTTCTAAATAATAACGATAACCAACTTGATACATTATGTTAGAATTATTCATATTCTCAGGTTTTTGATTATAAATGAACACTTTATTCTTATTCTTTTCCACTCCAATTCCATATCCTTTCATCAAAAATAATTTGTATTAAATACTATTTCATGTAGTATATTCATATTCAATGCTCGTGGTAAATATGTTATGCCACTACTTCTGGCACTTAAAGTCACACTTTGTCTAAAATTTTTCGCTAAAATTAAATATCATATGGGCGAAAATTTTTGATGGAATACTGTGATAATTAAAATTAAAATGATATGATAGAATAATAATACACTGCAAAGCGTCACTGTATCAAAATATTAATAAGCAAGTACAATCAGATACAAACAAAATATTTAATTTTATAATGTTTTTGTAAGAGGTTTCATAACAGTCTCATAAACATTTTATACCCCAGAATACAACCAAGAATACGATTTTACTTTAATACCGACAGTTTCGCAACATTACATAAAAATGATTGGATTAAACTTATAAATTTAACCTTTAATAATCACTAAATCAAAAAGTTTCGCTTATATGTTGTAGCAACTCCGGACATGGCAATTACACGCTTCCATCAAAATCTTCGGAATTTCATTAAACTATGAAACATATACTGCAACTGTTTCATTAATATGTTTTGTAAACCAAATCAAAATATTAATTAACCGTTCAACATTTCAAATTGATTAAATAAAAATAATAAAAATTTTCATATATAAATGAGAATTTGTTACTTTATAAATAAAGTATTCTATACATTTTGATCTTATAAATAGAATAAACTTACAACCTATTCTAATTTAAACTATTATAAATCAATTGAAATTGAAAGTGTAGTATTCATAATATTACTTGATCAAAAGAATGAAAAAGAACTTTTGCTAATATTACTTGTTAAGGTTAGTTGGAGAACCAACATGCAGAATGTGTAGGCTGCTTCTCATGAATTTTCTTATTCATTTTTTAAGTCAAAATAGCACTAAATACATTTTACTAACCAATCATTAACTTGCAAATTTACACCAAGTGGTAGGACAAAATTGTGATAAATAAGGGGTAGCTAAAAGTTCTATCGAGGGATTAATAAAGATAGATTAACTACAAAGTCACAGACTATAGTAGTATGGTTTCATAAATCTAATTGAATATTAAAGATATACATGATATATATACGAAAATATAATAAATTCCTGAAAATAACAATTACTTGAACCCAAGAATTCCCTCTCACAAAGTTATATAAAAATTACAAAATAAGAAAACTTACTAAAAGAATAATCTGAAAGAATAAACTTCAAGAAGTGTTTTTTCTAACTACTTGCCAAACATCATAATCTTCGATCGTGTAACAAGTAGCACTTTGTAATTTTGAAAAATTTTTAAAGTCCGGATAATTAGTTTTACTTTTACATTTTGATAACCATTTTCTTAAAACTGGTTTAGAATCAAAATAATAATAGTAATTTTTTGAGCCAAATATTGGACCATAATCTGAGCAATATCCAACAGCAGAATTATTTCTTTTAACGCGAGCAATTTTTGTTGTACCATGATCATTTTCATTATCAAATAAAAATAAAAAATTTTTATTTGATTTTGAAAATGAATAATATGGATTTTTTTTGTGACAATAAGGTTTCCAACTTAAATGATTATAACCACCAAACAAACATAGTTCAGAATTATTTATACGCAATTTTGCTATTGTCACGGTTGGACCTTTATGATCACATAATTTATGAAATTCACTAGGTCCACCCCTTTTTGAACAATATAAAGGGATAAAATCGTAAGGATTATTATTAGAATTATAATATAATGCATCCTTTAATTTTGTATTTGAAATTGTTCGCTCGGATGTATTATTTGATTGAAATAGTCCAGATAAGAAGTTTTGAGAATCTTTTTCCAAATCCTTCTTATCAATCCAACTAGCGATTATATTAAATTGATCAGATCTAATATGAGGCATGTGATCTAATTTATATCTTGGAGGTAAAATTGTAATTTCTTTAGGTAGTGAACTAGGATCCAAATGATAATTTAGAATATTATAATATAACTCAGTAGATAAAATGTTTTCAAGAAAAGAAATATTTTTCCTGAATTCTTTTCCAGATACTTGGAACCAACGAATCAAAGGAATGCAATCATCAATAACCTTTGTTAATATTTTGTAATCATCATCTTTCCATGTTTTCATGTCCTCGTTTTGAAGAATTGATTGATTTTTAGCAATACCCCATTTTACTAAATAATTCCAAATATCAATTTCATTTAATTTTCCTAGATCATCACGTTTTAATATAAGTGTAAGAATGGATTGATCTAATTGAACGAACTTTTGATGTTCAAATAATGAATCAGGGGAAGAACATATAAACTGAAGGCACATGTTGCGTAATGATTCACAAGAATCATATTGAAAAGCTATTTTCAATACATCAACAGAATCATGTTTCATAAAACTCTCAAGATCTTGATGCATAAAAAGGATTATTTTATCAATAAAATCTTTAAGATTTAATTCATTGACTGCTACGAAAAGTTTCAAGATTTCCAAGTCATCTAAAATAATTTTAGCGGTATATAAATACCTTTTTAAAATAATTACGTAATTAATAAAAAAGTTTTTTTATGAAATTAAACATGTACGTAAAATTCTAAAATTAAAAAAATTTATATTACCTTAAAATAGCTTCAAAAGTATTTACGGAAATATTATCAAAAGTAAAAATTGAAAATTTTCCATCTTTTTCAACATTATTAGAAGCATCAAAAAAATCAGGAGAACGAGCGTTCAAGATAAGGGAATGAGCGTGAAATTCTTTTAAATTTTGATCATCACTAACCCGAATGATGACATCATAATTTGGATCATCTTGAAGTAAAGTTTCATTAATTTTAGCAAGATCCACGTATGAAGCCTCATCAAATTTTTTTGTATCTTGATTAACGGGTTTAGTTCTTGATTTTAACATTACAGTTTTTGCGGGTGGCGTAGTAGAATCAAGATAATAAGCTAATATATCTTGATACAATTCTCTTGATAAGACATTTTGAAAAAAAGATCTTTTCTTCCAAAATTCAGCTGAAGAAATGTTATTCCAGCGAATTAAAGGAATAAAATCAACAATGATATTTTTCAAAACAGAATATTCATTTTCCTCCCAAGTTTCAAGCATTTTATTTTGAAGAGCAGGATCTTGAGCAGTACCCCATTTGATTAAATAATTCCAAATTTCCATTTCCGTTAAATTACCCAGATCATCTCGTTGCATTATAAGAACAAGAAGAGATTTTTCTAACTTTGTAAAGTTTTGATGCTCAAATAATATTTCAGGATAAGAGCATATGATATGAAAGCAAGTGTCACGGAGTGGTTTACAAGCATTATAATTAAAAACAAATTGCAAAATGCTAATTGCTCCATTCCTCATAAATTCTTCTAGCTTTTCATGTATAAAAGGTAATAACCTATCAATAAAATCTTGAAGAAGTAATTCATCAGCAGCAACCAAAAGTTGTAAAGTCTCAAGATCACTCAAGTTATTCAAAATAATTTCAGTAGTATATATATATCTTTTAAATAAATAAAAAATTAACTTGCGATTAATAATGAAAATTAATAATTATATTATTAGGAGAGAAATTAATAATCAAGTACCTTATAATAATTTCAAATAAACATGGTGGAATATTTGGCATCATAGAAATGAAGCAATCGCCTTCTTTTTTAGCCCATTTAGCAGATAAAGCGGCGCAGAAATAAGTTGAACGTGCGTTCAATATAAGTGAATGTGCTCGAAACTCTTTAAAGTTTTGTCCTTCACCAGAACGAATAATAACATCAGAGTTACGCCCATGTTGAAGTAATTTTTCATAATCACGGGCGATGTCTTGCGGAAAATCCAATTTCATTATTTTAAAATTTAAATACAGTTTCTATCTCAAAATCAACGTTTAGATATTTATTGGAACTCATCCGTTGTCATTATTCGTATACAAGAATAAGTCCGTACGTAACTAAAAGACTTTTAATTATATTATGTAAGATGAACCACAATGTTTTTTTTTAAAAGGGATCTACTTAACACAAGTGACAAATGTAACAATTCTATTTAAATGAGAAAATTCTGTAAAGTTACGCTTTGTGTTACACAGAGGTTTTTATAACATGCAATATTTATCATACCCCTAGTATATATTTGTAATCGGAGTATTATAATGTCTCTATTTGACACCTGGGTTAGGATGAACAGAATGCATTTAGCTGTATAGGTTTCTTCACTACTCCGATACATATTAATGCAGTAGGATTTTTTTTAACAAAATTATATGTAAAACAAAGTTTTATTTAAGTTTAATGTTTGATTACAATGTATGCATGATCGGACAGTTTATTCCGGTCAGATCATTTTATTCTTTCTATTCTTAATTTATAGAAATTTTCTATAAAAAGGGATGAATAAATTCGGTGGATTTATTTATTACAGTGAAGTTTTCCCAAATACAACAATTCCTAAATGCATGCATATATTTCTTTTTCTTCTTTTCTTTCTTTTTAATACAATCTTAGTTCAGTTCCGAAACAAATTACTCAAGAATTTTCATTTGGCAGTCTTCTCTAAATGTTATGTTTCCTAATGAAGTGAGTTCATTGTATCGACTCATATCTCCATAAAGAGGATGTTAAATTATAAGTCTCATAAGTCGACATTCTTTACTATCTACCAGCTCTAATGTTGCTCGACTAAATTAAATTCTTTGGCAATTTAATTAAAATTTTAATTTACGAAAGTCAAAATTTGTGTTAAAAGACAGGTTATATGACCGTAAAATTATGAGCAATTTTCATATGTAAGACCTAAAAAAATTACTTGTGAATAATTTTTTACTTTATTTTTCTTTTCATTTTACCGTTGTGTATACTCTTAGAAAATAATTTTCTTTATGTTATCGGTTCATTATTGCTGTTGAGTGTACTCTTAAGAAATCAATATCCGTTAATAGCACAAATGGCATAATTTGTGATACATAGATATTCTTTAAGAATCTAACAAATTCTGTTTTATTAACCGTAAAAGGAACTGTAAAAGGAGTTCATGTTATTTGAAAATCCATGTTCCAGAGTTGAACGATTTCCAGAGAAAAATCCAGGGAAAAGTTTTATATTGAGCTCTAATACTAACCGTAAATTTATAATATTCAAATTTCATGCCTTGCACAAGGTTATATATATCTACGTTAGGGAATTTAAAAAAGGGTAAATTAAGTCACTATATTTGCTTGCTAACTGGTCCAACTATGAAGATTATGTAATACATAGAATTAAATGTGCGTAGCAAAAATGTACAAATTGGATCTTCATAATAGAGTTCAATGACTTCATATTTTAACTTTAGTCATCATTCTTAACGTGATACTAATAGTACTGTACCGATATAAAAAAAAAAATTAGGGGTGCAGTTGGTGCCCACCTATATACGTATGTACGTACGTACGTACGTACGTATTTAATAAAATTAATGATTAATTAGAAACATAAAGTTGAGAAAAAAGCTTTTCACAATTCTTAAACATTTTAAATTTCCTGAAATCAATATGATGGCAAAAATTAGTAATAATAATCCCTCGTAATCTTGAAATTGGAATCGGGAGATTATGATCTGAATACGTATCGATATGCTAGCGCTAGGTTTGTGGACTGTTTCCCTTTTAAGAGGTCATAAGATCAGAGATCGGAATTTTCCGTAAGCGAAAATGGTAAGTATGGTTACAGAGATATCAGATGATATGCATTCACAAACTCTTGCATTTGGTTGGATGCAGAAATTGGCTATACTTACCAAATTTATCTGAATGTGGCAAATGCAAAAAAGTTTGGGTTTGCAATTATAATCAAGACACAATTTTGTCACGTTTTGCCTCATATGACCAAAAAGTAACAATGTTCCGAATCATTTTTCAATTGATCGTTCAATTATTATTATGAAGGAACAATATGCAACCTGAGATGATCGGATAGTTTTTTGATTATTAATAATTAGCGTTAGTAATTAAAAAATTAGTTAATCGCTATTATCGCCTCAAGCTGGACCAAGCTTCACGTTAGTCCTTTACAATTATCATTTTCTATAAGTAATAAATATTACTCAATTCATGCATATGTCGTAAGTAGGAACTGGATTTAAGTGGATTTGGAATTTCTTAGAATTTTAGGTTAGGGTATAGGGTTTATCGTATAAAATAAACTCCATCCTGAAATAATAATTTAAATAAAAAATCCCAAATCCGCTTAAATCCCGTTCCCACTTACAACACGCATAAAATGTATCGATATTGAACAAATTTGTTACGGAATTACAATTATTGGTTTATTTTTAATAGTGGCTTAATTATGATCCCTTATTAAAGGACTTTATAATTTGTCGCTATTATGTTACTATTATCACATGACTTTTCTTCTGAGCCAATATAATCCACAAGTTGCATCATCAAACATATGACCATCTTTCCACTTGCCCATCCACTCTATATTGGTATCCTGATACATAGCTTTCTTATTGCCATATCTAGTTATCCCTATTCCTTATTCATCTAGTTTATTTGTATACGTATCACTTCATTTCACAAAAAATCATTTTTTATGGACAATCAATTTATAGACA